TCCCTCTGTCCTCCCCTATGTGGCACCCAGCTGCCCGCCTCTGCCTCATTCACCTCCCTCTCCCCATAGCCCTGACCTACCAGTGTCTCCCCTTGGCCCTTTGTCCCCTGCTTAGGGAAACTCTCCAGCAAAATGCAAACCTTTCCTCATTGGCCTGCAAATCTCATCTTATCCCCACACCCTCCAGCATGAAGGCAGCTTCCCTCTGTCCTCCCCTATGTGGCACCCAGCTGCCCGCCTCTGCCTCATTCACCTCCCTCTCCCCATAGCCCTGACCTACCAGTGTCTCCCCTTGGCCCTTTGTCCCCTGCTTAGGGAAACTCTCCAGCAAAATGCAAACCTTTCCTCATTGGCCTGCAAATCTCATCTTATCCCCACACCCTCCAGCATGAAGGCAGCTTCCCGCTGATAGCAGAGTGAGGACAAGTTGTGGCCAGACGTGCTGACAGAATTTGTGTAGTGGTGTCTAGAGAACCAATGAACCGAACTGGGTATGGTGGAGACCATGTCAAGCCAGGGAGGCATACACCCCCACGTCCTCGGTTCCAGCTCCTTGGATGGACCTAACCTCCATGAATCGATGTGGCTCTTTTTTGAACCCTGATAAAGTCCAAGCCTTCACCACACCCTCTGGCAAGGAGTTCCACAAGTTGACTGTGCAGCTTTACAGATGTCCAGCTGTGGGTTCTACTGATAGACAGCCCTTCCAGCTGGCTCTGACCGAGATGCCCAAGAATTTGTGTAGCGGGGTCTAGACACCCCACAATTCTCCCTCCTGCCTGCTTGGACCCCACAATGCCCACCCAACTGTCCCCATCATTAAAAAAGCCAGGACAATTCTTCACTCTAAGGTACTTTGGTTAGAATTTGGAGAAGGGCGTAGACAGAATAGAATTGGGGGAAGAGCCTAGACCAAGGGTGGGCAATAATTTTTGACCGGGGCCCACTTCAGACATTTTTAAGTGGCCCTAGGCCATCCCTAATTGGCCTGGGGTTGGGGGGAGTGTGCGAAGTTTCCTCCCATCCTGCCAGGAGCACACGGCTCTTCGAAACGACATGGGAGCATTTGCAGGGCGGGAGGAGACTTTGTACGCTTCCTGCCACCACGGACGCTGACTGGCTTGGGGGTGGAAGGAGCAGTAGGGCCTCTACGGTCCGGATCAACTCACTTCGAGGGCTGGATCTGATCCACGGAGGCACTCTTGGCCACGCCTGGCCTAGACAGAATGGAAATAGGTCAGGAGAGAAGAAAAGCCTAGATAAGACTGGACTGAACTGGACTAGACTAGACGTTCCCGTTGTCATTTCATCAATGGACCGTAGGGTCTTCAAGGGTGATATTTTCTCCCTACAGGATCAGCACCAGCCCAGGGTAGAACCTCACCCCAAATGGCATGAATGTGAAATATTAGGACAAATGGCAGACTCAAAGGTACTTGGGTAGATTTGGGAGTAAGGACCTAGATAGGATAGAAAAGAAGTAATTGGCATAGGTCAATAGAATAGAATAGAATAGAATAGAATAGAATAGAATAGAGTAGACGTTTCCTTTGACTTTTCATCTCCGGACCATAGGCTCCTCCAGGCCAATATTTTCTCCCTTCAAGATCAGCACCATCCCGGGGCAGCGTTCACCCCAAATGGCATGACACTGCCAGACATACACACCAAGCCCAAAGAGGTAGAGTCGCAGAGGCAGTGGAAGGACAGGGGAGCATTGCTGCCATGGGAAGATGGATGTACGTTTCAGACACTCACTGGTCTTATTTCTCCCCTCCACCCAGGAATGAGTCCCAAATGGGGCTGGGGAACGGCACGGTGGTGACTCATTTCATCCTCCTAGGGATTCCCAACACCGATGGCCTCCAGACCATCCTCTTCTTCACCTTCTTAGCCTTCTACCTATGTACCCTGCTGGGCAACGGGGTCATCTTCTCTGCCGTCCTCGGCGACCCCCGCCTGCACACCCCCATGTACTTCTTTCTCTCTAACCTTTCTGTGCTGGACATTGGCCTCTCTTCCGTCAGTGTCCCGAAATTGCTGGCCATCCTCTGGAGACAGAGCAGAGTCATCTCCCTAGGTGGGTGCATGGCCCAAGTCTTCTTTGGCCACTTTCTGGGCAGCACCGAGTGCCTGCTCTACACCGTCATGGCCTACGACCGATACGTGGCCATCTGCCACCCGCTGCGCTACCTGCTTATCATGAACCAGCGGGTGTGCGCCCTCCTAGCCACCGGTTCCTGGATTGCCAGCTCCTTCCACGCCACCGTCCTTGCCGGCCTGACCTTCATGCTGCCCTACTGCCGGTCCAACGTGATAGACTATTTCCTCTGTGACATCTTCCCCGTGGTCAAGCTGGCCTGTGCGGACACACACATCCTCGAGACTGTGGCCTTCACCAATATTGGTCTGGTGCCCTTGACCTGCTTCCTCCTCATCCTCGCGGCAGATGAATGATTTTTCGTGTCTTGCTCACAACACCCCTGTGAATGCTGATAGATCCCCGGCTGCAGGGGTGTGTTCCCACTGCCCGCTGGAATGAGAGCAAGTCAAACTGGACACTTGTCCTCGAGACCGTGGCCTTCACCAACATCGGTCTGGTGCCCTTGACCTGCTTCCTCCTCATCCTCGCATCCTACGTCCGCATCGTCTACGCTGTCCTCAAGATGAACTCGGCCCACGCGTGGCGCAAAGCGGCCTCCACTTGTGCCTCCCACCTGGCGGTGGTAACGCTCTTCTTTGGACCCTGCGCTCTGATCTACACCCAGCCCCACCTGAGCCAGGTGCTGGGGCCGCCCGTTCAGATCTTCGGCAACGTGGTGACGCCCATGCTGAACCCGGCCATCTATGCACTGCGCAACAAGGACGTGAAATCTGCTCTGAGAAAACTGAGAGGCAGTCAGACGTCTGGAAATTGATGTGCAGCCACTGCAGAGGTAGCAATTGGGGTGGCATGGAAATGCATCCACAAATACACCGACGTGGCTTTTGTGAGTTTCTGGGTCTCTCTCCTTCCCCATCGATCCATCAGGAGTTCTCAAAATGCTGTTAAAATCCCCACCCATCTTTGGAATGCTGCTAGGGAGACAATTTCAAAGCTGCGTAGGAGTGTGGAGATGCTGGTTTGATGTTGTTGTTTTGGGAGTGATCAAATTTCACAATCAACTTCTAGTGTCGATGCCCATAGGTTTTATTACCTGCTCCCTATTGAACCTGTGGGGGAGACTCAAAATGAGCCCGAGGTGGCTCCGTTCATGTGGATACGCAACCTCGACTTAGAGCCCCAGGGCGCACTGGAGAGTAACTACTTCAAATGATGCCCGGGAGTCGTTATTTTGAAATAGCAGCACCGGCTGTTTGGAAAGAACTATGTTGAAATGAGCGTTGTTCCCTGAGGAAAGTAAAAGTAGAGATTTTGAAATAACCAGCCCGTTGTTTCAAAATAACGGGGTTGGACATATGGGGGGGGAGGTATTTTGAAAAACTCCCTAGTGTAGACCAGGATTAAGCAAGCTCTTTGGGGAGCTACGTAGATATATAATGTTGCCATTTTTTGGTAATTGTACAAGAGAAAGTTAATTTCCTGACTGGAAAGGTAAAAAGCACAAAGCGGGCCATAGCCCTGAGATGGCCAACTGAGGCTAAGGAAGTTGGCTGCTGTAGCCAGACATGAACCTCCCCCCTTAACATCCATCTTTGCTTGCTTGAAAGCATGCAGGGCACACAGAGCAATAAAACAGCATGGTCTTTGAAAGCCTTGAACAGGAGGCTCAGATATGCTAGCTCATCCAGTGACCCTGGACAACTGTAAGCAGAGATAAGAGGCTGGTCGAACTAATCGCTGACCAAGAGGCTCCCGAGGAGTGCCCTTGACTGAAACCCATATTGATACGAACACACACTCGTCCGGGGGGGGAAGAATCTCCCACCCAGCAAAGAATGTCCGGTACTCCTAATTTAGCTATCTCTCTCTCTTACAAGTGTAAATTATTTGAAACTCCCTTGTAAGAACTGGCACCACAAAACGGACCAGTACAATTTGGCATCTTAGATAAGAAAGAGGATACGGGCCCCTAGGGGTATAAAGATGGGTCCAGCAGCACATTTTCTTTGAGTGTCAATCAATCTACCATCTATCTGCTGGTTGGGTTTGGTGTTTGACATCCCGAGGTTCCAAGGGGACGCCCACCTCGTATTCATCTTTCCGAGGAGTTGAGGGACCGGCCCTGGCCTGACTCGCTGGAGTCGAGAGGCACAGAAGGGGGTAAAAATTGTACCTGTATATGTCCTTCGTCGTAGTGCATGCATAGAATTAGAGCTCTTTAAAGATTAAGCTGTCACTTGGTACCATTATTTTCTATCTTCCTTTTCCTTTGTAACCATTTTAAGATCTATATTTGCTAGCAGTTAAGAAGTAGCGTAATAGCCATTGTGACCATATGATTTATAAGCCTTTTTAATAAACCTGTAACTGGTTAAACTTTAACCTGACTCCTTCAGTTGCTCTAACAGAACCAAGCACAATTTAAAAGAACTTCAGCTGGTCATAAGGGACAGGTATAGGGGGAGCTTGAGCGTTGGATCGTGTCGCTTCCAGAGGATAGATCCGTTGGGGCATCTCTCAGCCTCCCTGGCTGCCCACTGCGAAGGGATCCTGTATCCTAGCGGTTGGAAGAGATGTAATAAGCTCTTCCTATAAACTCTGGGGTGTCTGTCAGCCTGTTGGCTGCCCTCCGTGACGGGACCCCGGTCCTAGCGGTAAAGACACAGACGTTAAACATTCGGGGCGCCCTTCAGCCTCCTAGGCTGCAGGCTGCGACGGGACCTTGTGTCTTAGCAGTTAAGACTGTTGTAACAAAGTCTCTGAGAACAGGGTAGTTTGCTAACGACGATTGGATCCCCAGAATTTACGGGAGGTGCTGATTAAATCATAGCAGGGCTACCAGCGTCCACCTCACCACATACGCCCTGGTTTTCTGTGCAGGTCACGTCAGAAAAAAACAATGTGGATGCAAACCAGCAAAATCTGGCCTCCCTGCAGGTGGCAACAGTAAACACGGGACCACAGGATTCCCACCACTGCCATAGGCTACCTGTGCTTGCGCAGACTTGAGCCATGCAGAGAAAATCATAGAGAGCACCCAAGAAAATCAAGGCAGTAATGTGGACCCAAGCCGGTGGCATGGCAGAGCCTGTTCGTGTTGGGTCACCCGGTGTCATCTGAGCAAGATGTTGTTGAGGAACCGCCTAATGACTTTGCTGTGGACGAAGCAGAGTCAAGGGTCCCTGGCTATGTCCGTGCCGGGCGATACAGCCGCTTCCAGGCCCCTGCAGGAGAAGGCAAAGCAGAAATTGACCCGTCTGGAGACTCTGACCCCTGGGGCTCCCTCCTATGCCTGAAGCCAGTGAGTGCTGGGGGTGGGGACTGGGAATTGGAGCTGCGGACAGATTCCCACCATGGTGCTCTCCAGCCAGGGCTCAGCCCGGAACCCCTGGATCCCAGGCTAAGCAGGGCAGGGCGGGTGGGTACTTGGCTGAGAGAGGGGGGCTCAGCAGGGGGCGCTCTCCCCTGCCTCTTACTGCTGACCCAGGGTGGTCTCTAGGGGGTGCTGTGCTTCTGGGAGCATCACTCACCAGGCCTTTTCCACAGGAACAATCCAAGGGCGCCGATTGACAGGGCAGCGAGGACACAGCCAATCATGATCCACAGGACACCAGGCAGGCCTGGGGACTGGGAATCTGGAAATGTCCCAAAACAGACTGAGTCAAGGGTCCTCCGTATTCCCTGTGCCTCGCCCCTCCCACAGGGCCTTTCCCACCCCCACGTTCCCTTCCTGGGAATCCTGAACCAGCATCTCCCTCCTCCCACCGGCCTGCCCCTCCCAGGCCCTGCCTGGTACCCACTTCCAGCATGACTGTGGGCTACTCTCTGAGAACGCTTTTTCCAGCTAATTATGCACCCACCTTACAGTAGCCCCATCTGGGTTGCATTTCCCTAGTCTATTGATAGGATCGTACCTAAACTTTACTAAAGCCTAGGTATCCCACGCCCACCTCTTCTCCCTTCTCCACAAGACTTGATAGCCTATCAAAGAAAGCGACCAGATTGGTTTTTCATGATTTGCTCTTTACAAATCCATCTTGCCATTCCCTATCACCTTCCAGATGTTTGCAGATGAATTCCTTAATTACTTGCTCCATTATCTTCCCTGCCACAGAAGTTAAACTGACTGATCTGTAGTTTCCTGGGTTGTTCTTATTTCCTTTTTTATAGCTGGGCCCTAAATTTGCTCTTTTCTATTCTTCTGGAATCTCTTCCAACTTCCATGACTTTTCACAGATCATGGCTAATGGCTCAGTTACCTCCTCTATCAGCTCCTTGAGTATTTTAGGATAAGCTTGCATTATTTGCTTATATACATCCTTTGTAATTTGACTGAGTTTCCACTTTTTTTACAGCTCCTTTTTTGATTTTTAGATCATGCAAGATCCCCTGGTTGATCCAAGGCAGTCTGTTGCCAGACTTTCTATCATTCCTACGCAGTGGAATAGTTTGCTTTTGGGCCCTTAATAATGTGTCTTTGAAACATTGCCAACTCTTCAATTTTTTCCCTTTGCGTGATGCTTCCCATGGGACCTCGCCTACTAACTTGCTGGGTTTATTAAAATCTTTCTTCTCCAAATCCAGAGTCACTATTTCGCTGGTCTTCCTTCTACCGTTCCTTGCAATCACGAACACTATGATTTCATGACCAGTTTTACGCAAGTGGCCTTCCACTTTCAACCAGTTCCTCCCTGTTTGTTAAAATCAAATCTAGAACAGTTTCCCCTCCATATAGTTTTCTCCGCCTTCTGCAATAAAAAAAATTGTCTTCAATGCAGTCCAAGAACTTGTTGGATAGTCTGTGCCTTGCTGTGTTAGGGTATGTCTACACTACATGGCTCCATCGACGGAACCATGTAGATTACTTTTGTAGACATAGGAAAATGAAGCGGTAATTTAAATAATCGCCACTTCATTTAAATTAAAATGGCTGCCACACTGTGCCGATCAGCTGTTTGTCGGCACAGCGCTGTAGTCTGGATGCTCCGTGGTTGATATCAAAGGCATTTGTCGACATCCCCGGTATGCCTCGTGGGATGAGGTTTACTGGGGAGGTCAACAAATGCCTTTGATGTCATCCGCGGAGCGTCCAGACTACAGGGCTGAGCTACCAAACAGGTGATCGGAACAGTGTGGCAGCCATTTTAATTTAAATGAAGTGGTGATTATTTATCGCCGCTTCATTTTCCTATGTCTACAAAGGTAATTTACATGGCTCCGTCGACGGAGCCACATAGTGTAGACATACCCTTAGTTTCCCAACTGATGTCTGGATAGTTGAAGTCCCCCATCACCACCAAAACCTGCACTTTCGATTATTTTGAGATTTAAAAAAAAAAAATTCTCATCCACCTCTTCCATCTGGGTGGTTTGTAGTAGACTTCTAGCATGACATCACCCTTGTTTTTTACCCTTTTAACCTCACCCAGAGACTCTCCACCCATCTGTCTCCTACGTCCATCTCCACCTCAGTCCAAGTAGAAACATTTGTAATATACAAGGCAACACCTCCTCCCTGTTTTCCCCACTTGTCCTTCCTGAGCAAGCTGGACCCTTTTGTACCAATATTCCAGTCGTGTGTATCACCCCACCAGGTTTCTGTGATACCAGCTATGGCACAGTTGGGTTCATTTATTAGCACTTCAAGTTCTTCCTGCCTCTTGCCCACACTCCTTGCATTTGTACACAGGTCTCAAAGGGTATGTCTACCCTAGCCCCCTAGTTCGAACTAGGGACGCTAATGTAGGCATTCAAAGTTGCAAATCAAGCTCGGGATTTAAATATCCCAGGCTTGATTTGCGTCTTCCCGTCCGGCCGCCATTTTTAAATCCCCTTAGTCCGAACTAACTGCCTGCAGCTACCCGCGGCAGTCTAACGTGAATCCGAACTAAGGACGGTTTAACGTTAGACTGCCGTGTGTAGCCGTGGGCAGTTAGTTCAGATTAAGGGGTTTTAAAAATGGCGGTCAGACGGGAAGACGCAAATCAAGCCTGGGATATTTAAATCCTGGGCTTGATTTGCAACTTCAAATGCCTACATTAGCCTCCCTAGTTCGAACTAGGGGCCTAGTGTAGACAGACCCAAAGATACTGATTTGCTTTTGTCCACAAGTTTTGCCTTGTCCCCCTTTAGCTCTGCTTTTATGGCTCATGCTCCCTCCCATGTGTCTTCCCTTCTCTGCCTCTCACTTCTGCTGTGTGAGCCCCCAGTACCCCCCTCTGCTTCCTGTCCCCCAGTCCACTGAAGGCCTCTCTCTGTGCACCCAACCCCAGGGGCCCCCAAAATGTCCTCTCTGCTTTTCTCACTTCCCGTTTCCCCCATCCCTATGTGCCCATCTCTGCCATGACCTTTCCCTCAGTAGCCAGCGCCCCCTTCCCAGCCTCTCCCCATGTCCTGCCCCAGTACTCACCCCAGGTCACCCTCAGGGGGGTGTCCCCCAGGTTGCTGTGTCTCACCACACATACGTGCTCTGTGGGGCCGGCCCCCTCCTGCCCCAGCTCGATGGACACCTGGATCTGGAAGGTGTGGTCCCCATTGGGCCGGATCCCGCTGCTCAGCTGCTCCCCCTGGGCCACCTGGCCCCTCCGCTCCCAGGTCACCTCGATGTCGCGGGGGTAGAAGCCCGTCACGTGGCAGACAAGGCGGCGCGGCTGGGCCTGGGTCCCTGGGCCAAGGGTCACATGGGCTGTGGGTTGAGCTGGGGGGAGAGGAAGAGTCATTGGTGACAGGAAATGGGAGAGCAGGGGCTGGGGGTCAGGACTGAGGGCACCAGTAGAGAGCTCACCTGTCTTCTCAGTGATGAGTAGCCCACTGTCCTCGATCAAAAACATGCATCCCTGAGGGGTGAGTTCTCCAAAAGGCTCCCTGGCGCGGTTCCAGCGCTCTGCCAGGGGCCAGGCCGCCGGGTGCACCGGGAACCAGCGGTTCTGGTCCGAATGGTGCTGCAGCATGTCCTCCCCGTTGAGGGCATAGCGGGTGGCGGCTCGGATGTCACTAGTGGCATCATCCCACTCACAGCTCTGCAGGATCTGCATGTAGTAGGGTTCTGGGGGCAGAGGGGCTGGCTGAACGACTCAGTTTGAACCACCCGGATGCGGGGGAGGGGAAAGTTCTCCCATGCGTGGGACTCCCCACATAAACACACACGTCCCTCACAGGGTTGGCAAGAAAGTCTTGCAGGTTGGCTCACAGAGATCCCCTTGGGACTGTCACTTGATGGGCTGAAATACCCACCTACCACCTCCTTGGGGCACCCCACCAACCATCCGGTGTCCTCCACACATGGCCCAGAGTTCAGGTCACACTAAGCATGAGTCACAGAGGCAGAGCCTCTGAGTCCCGGATCTTAGCCCCTTCCGCCGCTCTAAGACGTAGGTACTAGAGAAGTCCCTTCCCCCTCACGTCCTTTCTCTCAGCTCCCATCTCGATCCTTTCAGCTGCCAACCCCCGCCTTCCTGAGCCAAGTCTGGGTCTCAGGGACTCACCGGCCCGTGGGGCACTGGTGTTCACATCCTGCACCAGGGCCTGGTACGTGGTCTCCACCCAGGAGTCCCAGGACAGGCACCGAGTGCTGCGCAGTTTCCAAATGTCCTGCCTGTCCTGGTTGTAGCCGTTGCGAGGCACTGGTTTCCTGGTGTCACTGTCATAGATGAAGAGCAGCAGGTCGTCCACCTTCAGCATACTCAGCCGCTTAGGCAGACCAGAGGCCGCCTGTGGGGTGACGAGCTGGAGATAAGAGACACGGTGCAGCCCTGCAGGGAGGAGAGAGATTGGGATGGCATCTTAAGGGGACCCTCCAGCCCCCAGCCCAGGCAAAAAGATGCTTGGCTGGGGGATGGGGGAAACACAGGGACTGCTTACCCGCCAAGGTGACACAGCAGAAATTCAGGATCCAGAAAGACACCAAGACAGGCTTGGCTGAAGGAGCCATGCCCCTGGAGGGGTCAGAAAAGCAGCTCTATGCAGAGAGGCCAAAGTCCGCACCCAGAAAGCTAGATATAGAATGGCTGCCTCTCCTGAACTGAGCTCTCTGCTGCTCTGACAGGAAACACTGGAGGGGAAACCCACAGCCAGCAGCTGAGCAAAGGTCCAGAACGGAAATCAGCCGTCCCTCCTCCACCTTGCTCAGTGTCTCACCGGAAGCCTGGCTTGCAACTCACAGAATTAACACTTTCCTGTGCATCTTTCCCCTCCCTTCAACTAAACAAACAAACAAACAATCTCACAACCCACCAGCTGCCTACCCTTCCAAGCTGCCACCCCAAATTTGAACCCCCTGCCTTGTTGCATACAAATTTCATACGCTGGGTACTTTCACTGTGCAAACGAGGGTTTTTTTCTGGTTTTTCTCTTTCTGGGCACACAGCCCAGGCTGTGATAATATCTGCGGGGTTCTCAAATATCTTTCAACCATGTAACAGCAGCAGTTTTCAGTTTCATTTTAGCTACGAAGGAAGCGACCTGTAAGTGTGATGGCCGTGTTAATCTCTGAAAGGTTGAACAGTCATTTTTTTTGGCAGAACTGGATCAAGATCCGAAGTGTGAATCCCAATTTTAGGGCAAGGAATTTGCTGCCCTGAATCTATTCCCAAGTTCACCCTCCCTCTCTTTCTTCCCAATGCTCAAACTGAGCAAAGAATCAGAGTTGTGTCATTGTGATTTTTATGAACAAAAGTCTGATCCCCAGTGGAACTGGACATAAAAAAGAGGAATGCTGTTATGCTAGCAGGGCCCACACATGTTCCCTAATTGTGGGCTTGACTGGATGAAATGAGTGGAAGTTCGTAAGGTGTCATGATGACCATTAATGACGTAGGCAGCTTCTGAACAGAGCTAGGTGGGGAGGAGAAAAGATTCAAGAACCAGGCTGTGTTTACACAGGCACCCCTGCCCTGCCTTGGTGTCCAGGACACCGAGCTATGCAGCTCAAGCAATCAAATTTGGATGGTGTTGGGTCCTTGTCTATCCAACCATCTGGAACCTCACCATGCTGAGGTCCAAGGGTGAGAGCCAAAGCAGAGGTGCTTGGGTTCTGAGCTGTGTGGTGTAATGGTTAGGGTCAATGCAGCATCTCTTGCTTTCAGGACAACACGGCGTATTGGCCATAGTCAATCTCCTGGCCCTCCAGCACAGGACAGTACGGCCTAGAGGCCAGAGTCAATCCAGTGGCCCCTGAATTCAGAGCAGGGTGGCCTACCTGCTGGAGTCAATGGTGCAACCCTCAGCTATAGGGCAGAAGGACATCATCTCCAGTTCTGGGGGAGCTGCCACCAGTGGGAGGAGGGGGCTCCATGTAGAGAGGGGCCCAACTCCCCTAGGCCCTGAGCATGGCCCCTGTGAGTGCTAGAGTGTTTTGCCTCTGGGTCAGCTGGGAATGCCGTTGAACCTGACCTCACATGGGTAGGAGATGCCAATTGCTCACTCTCCCTGGATCACATCCTACCATGCTTCCTGAAGATGCCGTCCAGGCAGCACCAAAGTTTCTGGTGCCTCCTCACACCTAATTCCCTGGAGTTCTGCTGGCCACAGATCTCAGGACCAGACCTCGGGATCTCCAGCTCCCATGAGCAAGGATTGCGGTCCTCCCTCTCCGGCGGTCAGCCTAGATGGAGCTCGGTTACTCCCTTTTATACCTGCACATCCCCTGGAGCATGCTCAGTGCAGTCCGAGGGGTGGGTCTTCCTCCACCAGTGTGTGGGGTGAAGCCCTTCTGGGCCAGGGGGAGGTGAGCTCACAGAGATGCCCCTCTGAAGTCTGGATCCTCATTGACCAAAGAGAAACTGGCCTCACTAACTTGTCCTGAGAGTCCCTCAAGCACTTCAAGCTAAAACACACCCTTTTGGGTTGGCTATACAACAGAGTGAGTCACGGCAGAGACAGATTATAGGTGAGCACGAGAAGCCGGCATAGAGACTAAAGTTAGTTCCCTGCGAAAGAAAAATAAATCCACAATCTAATTGGAATGTAAAGAAACGAAGCCGGTGTTGGGTTGTGTGACATTTCATGCTGAGAGACGGTTCTCCCAGTTCTCCCAGATGACTAGGATGTCGGTCCAAACTTGCAAGCGAAGGAAAATAGCTAACAGTGGGTAAGACACCAGCCAGAAGGGGGCGCTCTGGTGCTGAAAAGACGGTTAACAACGTGTCGAGCAGGGGGCACCCGTAGGATGAGTCGCGCTGTGTTACACTGAGGTATAACGGGTTGGGAGTTGACTCGCCATTAGTACCTGTCCGCTGATGGATGTTGACTCCTTTGGAGCAACAGAAAGTCTTGTACATTTGGAGAGATCCCAGACCGCACGATTCAGTAACACAGGAGAGAACAATTTATACATCTATGTTCCACAGGTCTGGGCATTTAAACGATACCTCACAAGGCAACTCAAGCTGCCGTGTTCACACAAACAAAAAACTCTTCCGAACCAGACTGCAAGGGGACACGGCTGAGCTGGAATTCATAGGCGAATTTGACACCCACAAAAGACATGGAATGGCTCTCACACGGCAATCGGTAATTTCCCCTTCCAGTGCTCTCACCGTCTCCTCACGGCTGGAGATGACCCCCGACCACTCTGGGTTAATTAACTTCCACCTCTGTACCCTTCCTTTTTTCTCCTTTCTGTTCAAGCATCTAAAGAAGTGAGTTGTGGTACAGGGTGAGCTCAGAGGAGAGCCCAGGTAGGGGGCCCGTCCGGGATGCTGACATGGGCCCTGCCACTCACCTTCCCACTCTCTGAGGCTTGTCAACCCCCTGTCTCGCTGGGCCAGCTCCCCTGGCCAAGGCCCTGAGCTGAGATTCCTGCCCCCACCATGAAGCAGTGCAAACACTGAACCACTTCAGGTCTCAAGAGAGTGCAGTTCAGGGCCCAGCTCTCCTGGATGGGGGATGGAACTTGATGAGGACGGGGGTCACTTACCAGCCCAGACGTCAGACCATGAAGCAGTGCAGACACTGAACCATTTCAGGTCTCAGGAGAGTGCAGTTCAGGGCCCAGCTCTCTTGGATGGGGGATGGGACTTGATGAGGACAGGGGTCACTTACCAGCCCAGACGTCAGAGCAGAAAGACAAGAGGCAGAAGGAGACCCAAGTGAGTTTGGCCCAAGAAGCCATCGCCCTGCGGGGAACGAGAAAACGGGGAATTCGGGAGCCAAGCCTGAGAGGACTGAAGTTCTCACGGCTGTCTCTTCCTGTACTGAGCTCTGTGCTGCAACAGAAAGAGTGAGATGGGGAAACCCAAGCCCACAAGCTGAGCACATGACAAAAACAGCACTTGGACGTCCCTCCCCCGCCTCGCTTGCTGCCTCAGGAGGAGGAGCCTGGCTCCCCATGCCCCCAATTAACTCTTGCGAAGTCCAGTTGCTGCATTAGCTGTTGTGTGTTTATTTCCTGGGGAGGTCTCTGTGAGGGAGGCAGGAAAGCCCCTGACCACGCCAACCCGCAGCTGTGAGCCTCGGCCGGGCCTCGCCAGGGACACGGGGCTTTGTGGTCAGCTCTGGGTGGTAGAAAACCACTGACTCCGTAAACGCTCCACAGGTCACTGGAGCTTTTCCAGCAGCTCAGGGCATCTGTCCCAGCAGCTCGCAGGCTGGTGTGACAAGAGACAGCTCTTAGTTCAATGGGAAATGGCCTCTCCCACCCTCAACAAGGAAGTTTTTTTCTGTCTTTGCTCAAACTGCACACACAGCCCAGGCTGTGATAAGAGCTACTATATTGTTAACTATTGCTCAACCGTGTCACAGCACCGGCCTCCGGTTTTGTTTTAGCCATAAGGAAGTGAGCTGTAGGTGTGTCGGGCTGGTTAATATCTGTACGGTTTAACAGTCTTCTTTTTTCAGCATTGGATCAAGTCCCGATATGTGAATCTCAATTTTAGGACAAGGAATTTGCTGCCCTGAAACTACACCCAAGTCCACCCTCCTGCTCTTTCCTTTCACTACTCAAACTGCAGGAGGAGTCGGGGTTTGGGCTTTGTGGTTTTATGCGCAAAAGTCCGATCCCCAGCGGAACGGGCTATAAAAGAGCAGTGTGGTGTTCCCCGATGGAGAGTTTCATTGGAGTTCATAAGGGGTGTGTCTAGACTACAGGGTTTTGTCGACAAAAGTGGACTTTTGTCCACTAAACTATACCTGCGTCCACACTGCCTTTGAGATATGTCGACATAACGTCGACAAAACTCAGCAGTTTTGTCAACATATGTAAACCTCATTCTACGAGGAATAACGCCTTTTGTTGGCAGAGTTCTATCAATAGAAGGCGTTATTGCATCTACACTGTCCTTTGTGTCCACACTGTTATGACGACAGAGCGGCTTGCTTTGTCAACAGAACTGGCTGTAGTCTAGACGCTCTTTGTCGACAGAAGCTTTGTTGACAGTATCTGTTGACAAAACTTCTGTCAACAAAACCCTGTAGTCTAGACGTACCCAAGGTGTCATGATAACCAACAAAGATATAAGATGTCAGTCCCCTCGCCCTGCAGCACAGGACAGTATGGCCTAATGGCCAGAGTCAATACAGTGGCCCCTGAATTCAGGGCAGGGTGGCCTAGCTGCTGGAGCTACAGGGCAGAGGGGCATTGTCTCCAGTTCTTGAGGGTCTGCCACCGGGGAGGAAGGCTCCAGGCAGAGAGGGGCCCAACTGCCCCAAACGCCGAGCGTGGTCCCTAAACCCACAATCTAATCTGAATGCAAAGGAATGAAGCCAGGTTTGAGTTGTCTCCTGCTGAGCGATGGTTCTCCCAGGCCCCGACGGGGCCGGCTTTCCAGACCGGGACCAAACGTCTCCCTTCAAAGTCTTTCTCTTCCAGATGTGCCAACATGTATTGAGATAGAGGTGGGGAGAGGATGAATGATTATATCACCCTCCCTCCTCTGTACTTTCTTCAGCTCCTGGAAAGTTCCTCCCTGTGAGCTGAGTCAGTCGTCCGGCCGCAGGGCACACGCCTCCTCCGAGAAGCTGGAGTCTGATGGGGCATCTGCCCCACACTGGCCCTTAAAGGATTTAAACCCAGCCTTGGGAGAAGGCTGGAGCCATGGAGTGGTGGAGCCAGTGGCTGAGGCAGAAATCAGCCAATCAGGGCCCAGCTGGGGCTGTATAAATAGGGGTTCCTGAAGGGGCGCAGACAGACTCACTCTGGCTCTGGCTGTGAGCAGGAGAGACCTGGCTGCCATGGAAGCTGGAGGTTTCCTGACTTAGAGCACAGCTGGGTGAAGACAGGCAGGGCTGGGGGCTCTGGCCAGGCAAACTCCCAGGCTGCAGGGCCTGAAGCCAGGCTGGAGTGGACGAAGGCCACCTACCCAGGTGGAAGAAGTGGATGAGGATTTTTTCAAACAACTAACAAAATCATCCAAAGCCCAAGATTTGGTGGTGATGGGGGACTTCAACTATCCAGATACATGTTGGGAAAATAACACTGCCGGGGCACAGACTATCCAATAAGTTCTTGGACTGCATTGGAGACAACTTTTTATTTCAGAAGGTTGAAAAAGCTACCGGGGGGGAAGCTGTTCTAGATTTGATCCTCACAAATAGGGAGGAACTGGTTGAGAATTTGAAAGTGGAAGGCAGCTTGGGTGAAAGTGATCATGAAATCACAGAGTTCACAATTCTAAGGCTGCGTAGAAGGGAGAACAGCAAAATAGAGACAATGGATTTCGGGAAGGTGGATTTTGGTAAGCTCAGAGAGACGATAAGTAAGGTCCATGGGAATCGAGACTGAGGGGAAAAACAACCGAGGAGAGTTGGCAGTTTTTCAATGGGACGTTGTTAAGGGCCCAAAAGCAAGCTATTCCGATGTGTCGGAAAGACAGAAAACATGGCAAAAGGCCGCCTTGGCTTAACCACGAGATCTTGCATGATCTAAAAATAAAAAAGGAGTCATATAAAAAATGGAAAGTAGGACAAATTACAAAGGATGAATGTAGGCAAACAGCACAGGAATGCAGGGCAAGATTAGAAAGGCAAAGGCACAGAATGAGCTCAAACTAGCTACGGGAATAAAGGGAAACAAGAAGACATTTTATAAATACATTAGAAGCAAGAGGAAGACCAAGGAGAGGGTAGGCCCACTGGTCAGTGAGGAGGGAGAAACAGTAACAGGAAATTTGGAAATGGCAGAGATGCTCAATGACTTCTTTGTTTCGGTCTTCACGGAGAAGTCTGTAGGAATGCCTGACATAGTGAATGCTAGTGGGAAGGGGGTAGTTTTAGAAGGTAAAATAAAAAAAGAACAAGTCAAAAATCACCTAGAAAAGTTAGATGCCTGCAAGATACCAGGGCCTGATGAAATGCCTCCTAGAATACTCAAGGAGCTGATAGAGGAGGTATCTGAGCTTCTAGCTGTCATCTTTGGAAAATCATGGGAGACAGGAGAGATTCCAGAGGACTGGAAAAGGGCAAATCTAGTGCCCATTTATAAAAAAGGAAATAAGAACAACCCAGGAAAGTACAGACCAGTTAGTTTAACTGCTGTGCCAGGGAAGATAATGGAGCAAGTAATTAAGGAAATCACCTGTAAACACTTGGAAGGTGGCAAGGTGATAGGGAACAGCCAGCATGGCTTTGTAAAGAACAAATCATGTCAAACCAATCTGATAGCTTTCTTTAATAGGATAACGAGTCTTGTGGATAAGGGAGAAGC